AACCCTGATGTTGCCCTCAGTGAAAACGAGTTTCACACCCCTGGCTTAGATCCTTCCTTTGAGCTGAGAAATACTCAGTATTTTCTTTTAAAATATTATAGTGAGACACACTATATTGTTACTATATAGTGATGTTGAATAGTTTCTCCTTACCAGCAGCTTCTTGCTCCTCTGTAATACTCTTTATATTTTGAATGAGGCTGCTTGAGAGAGATTCCAAACTGGCTATATAAGCCTCATATTGTTTGCCATCTGCCTGTAAAGATGATTTCAGGCTCCGTAGTTGCTCTAAACGGTCCTTTTTCATACAAAAAGATGGAAATTGTAGTCTGTTAATTAAAATCAGACTTATAAATACATCAGAGCTATGTGTGCCATTACTCAGTTACTCACTGGTTCACTTTCTCTTTCCTTTTCACGCTTGGCAATCTCTTCCTTCAACCTTTTTTCTTTTTCTTCTAAGTCCGCTAAATGATTTTCATGTACCTGAAACAGATCCTCTGAAAGAAAGATGAAAGTAATGCTCCAACCACTCAAGTGCTCTATAACTGAAGTTATTAATTAGAATAAGTCATTGAGATAAAAAGTATACGCTGGGCACAAGTTGACATTTTGCTTTACTAAATATCAGATTTAAATCATCTTTAAAAAGATTGTTATAATTTCAATGCATTTCCGTCACTAAGTAAAGTAGTCATAAAGTGCCACAATATGCAACTGCATTACTTAGTACTGCAAAAAAATGGCAGACTCTGTTGCTGTTGCTAAGCGAAAACCTAACATGACTTTGACGTGGAAAGAGGCATGAATCCCAGGCAAGCAGCTGATGGGCAAGAGCTATGGGCATGTGGGTGGTATGGAGCAGAACAGCATTATGGAGTACAAGATTCCCATGCCATCTGGGGCATCTCAGGAGAAAAAAATGGTGGGGGTGGGAACAACCTCCTGCTGGAGTTAAACACAAAAATACTTTTCTTAACCACATGAGCTCTAGTATCTAAGTAAGTATCTTGAGAAATAGTACAGAAACTTACTTAATCTCATATTAGGAGATTAAGTGGGATGATGGGGGGAGGAACTAGAGTTTAAACAGAAATATTCTACATTAATAGCTTGGTGAACAATTTTTTAAACAAGCTTGAAAAACTACAAAAAGCAAATGGTAAGATTCATAGTAATACCTACTTTTTAAAAACATTTCACAATGTAAATTACTCACTTAATTTGGAATCTATTTCAGCATCAAATTCTTCAAAACTGTCTCTACCCTTCATGAAATGGTCATAACATTTTACAGAGTAGTCCAGAAAAAGCTGAGGACATAATTGTAAAATCAGTTTAGTTTTAGGAATTTTTAAAAATATGCTAAACAGTATTATGTTACAGAATATGGGTGCTTTTTTCTGTTAAGGAAAGTTTTCACATAATATACATCAGTTATATTATTATTGCTGATTTCATAAGCAACATATACTAAATGTTAATCAGAATCATAATTGATATAAACAAATTTTGATATAGACAACTATTAAAATACAACTATTAAATGCAAAAATAAGA